CCTATCCAGCTGGGCACCAAACACCTACCGCTGGAGTCCGTGTTGGCCGCCTGCTGTGAGATGTGTGTGCCACTCTCCACCGCCGAGCTGCGCCACCTGGTGGAGCGGCTCAACCTGGCACAGGGGCCGCGCCAGCTGGTCATTTACGCCTTGTTCGTGGCCACGCTCAACTGGAAGGACCGCCTCACCCTCGGACATCTGGAGTGTGAGTACTAGATGAGGTGGATCTGAAGGGAAAGCTGGGGGCTTCCAGAGCGACAAGATGAATCTAAGGATGCGCGTGGATTGTCATGTTCAATGTTTAGATGCTCGCGCCTTTCATGGTACGTGTCACCAGACTATCTCGTTGTGTTCTTTTACCGTTTTTGGCTTATCTTGTGCTGGCTTTATGCTGTGTTATGTAAAAAACTCACATTTTATGTATTTGTCTCTTGATATAAATTGTTAGCCAGGGAATACTTAAACTCTCCCAAAACTTAAGCAAACGCTACACCTCATTCCATAAAGCATCCAGGAAGGCCGTTGCTTCGACGGCACGCAGCCGATGGCGACGTCTCACTAGTCACGTGACTGGCAGTGCTGCGTAACGAGTGTCGGCCGGTGACTGAGTGCCAGACGACGAGCGGATGCCAGCTGCGCGCGCCGCCGGCCGACTGGCGCGTGGACCGGCGCTGGGGCCAGGCGCCCGGCGAGCCGCCGCAGGTCGACGCCGGGCCCCGCCGCGACCGCGTGGTGGACGTGGTCCGCCCCACGCCCTTCATCGAGGCCGGCCTGCGCGAAACAGAGCTCACCAAGGTCAGAGGAGGTGGAGGTGGTGGCTACGGGCACCGTCAGAGGGTGAGGGAGGAGACGGACGAAGTGAGGTTGCCGCAGGGGCCATGTGACGACAACCAGGGCGGCCAGAACGTCTTGTCTTTACTTAGTTAGGGCCCTCACTCCACCAGCGCCTTCACTTCACCGCAGTTTTAGTCCCTGCCCAGGGTTCACAAGTGTTTGTTCTGTGTAGCGTGATAACAATTGCAATTGGCGAATTTCAGATTTCGGTAGCTCTGAGCTCTTTATTAGTTAGCATCTGGTCTTTCCTTCATACTTTATCACTAACACGATAATTGCGTTGCGCCTTCAGCCGCGAAGCGAGGCGTTCCTGATGGAGCTGCTGTGCGGCATGGGGGTATGCGACTACAAGCAGTTCAAGACGCTATACGCCGTGGCCCAGTCCAAAAACCCGCCCGACCCCAGCGTACTCGACATTCTGGACGTGGCCAACAAGAGCTGCTGCGAGCCTGTGGAAGCACCTGTTGACCCACCGCCGGAGCCGGAGGCGGACGGCCGGCTCTGCGCCGGGGGCATGGAAGAGGTCAAGGCCGTGGCCGAGAGCCGGACGTGCCGCGGTACTGACCAGTTCGCCTTCATCCCGCCATCCCTTGGCGGCGAAAGGAAGCTGAGGTTCGAGGAGTCGGCCCTGGAGGCCACCGGCAAGAGTTTGCCGAAAGCGGACCCCGCCTGCGAGACAGACTTCCTCGAGCCGACCAACCTGGAGGACACCCGACCGATCTGCCCGGAACAGAAGACGGTGTGTGCCGACCAGGCTCCGCCTGCCAGCTCCGAGGCACGCTGCCACTAGTGTCCGTCACAAAAACTCCGCCGAGGGCTTTGTACTCCTGATGGGATATATTTACAATGGAAGGCCACATTCAGGTCACTGTTACCGGGACCTGCACGATCAGGTCAGACGACACTACACACGGGGTCAGATGATGGTCAAACAACACCGGTAGGCCGCGCCATCAGGCACAGTCAAAAACCAGTTGCGCATAAAATAGCACGCTTCTCTCCCAGCCTGCCGCGGGCGACGGACCGCGTCCAGCGGCGCCGGTCTCAAAAACGAGTCGGCGCAACAGCATCAACAACAGCAGCGCCTGCCGTCAACAACGTCCGCGCGCTCCCATACAAAATTTGCCAACGCCAACAGGGTGAATAAAATTTCCAGTCGATAACAGTCGTGCCTTGGGCGGCGGACCGAGTATTCAGTGGTATGGATGGGGCTCGACTCACCGGGCAGGCCGCGGGCCCGCCCGCATCACAGTTAGTAGCCAGCCAGCCAGCGGCACACGCTCCCAGTCGCTCCTCTCCTCGTATAAATGCAGCAACCCTTGGCACAGAGGCGCCGCGCCGGCCGGGGCGGCCCGGCGTCGCGCGGCCCGGCCGCCCCGTTCCGCCATCACGTCTCGAGGTACTAACAGTATCACATTCGCACTAAAAACGGTGCCTCGCGCGGCGCTATTGTCAGCGGGCGGGAGCAGAGCCGCTCCCCGGCTATGGCTACGAGCCACGGACCCGTACTCGGTGGCGCCCGGCGGCCCCTCCGCATGTAAAACGTCCCGGGCGGGGCGCCGGCGGTCCCGGCGCTAAGGCACGCGGCGGCGGCGGCGGCGGCGGCGGCGGCAGCGACGGCGGCAGCAGCGCGCCGATGGCACAGGACGGCGGTGGCGGCGGCGGCGACCGACTAGGAGGGCTGACCGGGCGGCGGCGGCGCGTCAGTGGGCGGCGCGCCCGGTTCCTCCCGGCCCAGCACCGTGTACACGTCGTCCACCCGGCTGAGCGCCTCGAGTAGCGGCAGCCGGTCCAGCAGCTCCGTGTCGCTCATGTCGTCGAACCACGACTTGCACGCCACCTGGCGGGCAGCGGTCGGCGTCAGGCGGAGGCGAACATGGACAGCGGCTCACTGCTCGCTACAGAGTCTTCACTGGCGCCAGCCGAGGACAGTCGGGCAGGGAGCACAACATACTATGGGTGCATTTTTACAGCGGTAACCGTGACTCGACACATGCTATGGTGATTTCAGATTCCAAACGCACACCAACATGTCACTTGCACGTGCCGTGGGACCACGACTCTCCCACAGCACACCACACCATCCGTAAGTCAGTTACCATTCCCGGGTTCCGCCCACGCGCGTTTGTACACGGCAAACTTCTGCCCCATGGATCTGTGCTCAGCGGCGACACAATCCACGTCGCGAGAGCAGGACGACAGCCGGCTGCCGGGCCTAACAACAGCCGCCACCGACTCACCGTCGGAGGTTGTCCGACAGGCGGCGCCACCTGCGGCGCCCACATGGCCGGACGTGGCCGACGGACGGACGGCAGCGGGACGCCGGTCGAGAGAGGATGCCGGACAGCAGGAGGGTCGGGAGACGGGAGCGGGCCGGGAGGGAGGCTGAAACGGCGCGCAGGTCACGTGGGGTCATGCGCACACCACAGGGCGGACGACACGCGCCTGCAGGCGCCGGCGCCGAAGCGCGGACGGCACGGCACCGGCCATCCAGTTCCCCACCGGTACAGGGACGGCGACTGCAGGGAACCAGGCTGACGTGGCGCCCGCCGCGCCGGACAGTATCCGTCACCGGGCCGCGGCTGCATCGGACGGCGGCAGTCGAGACCGACCGGCGGCAGTCGAGTCGGCCGGGCGGCGGACCTACCGCGTTCTCCGGGTGGAAGATGTAGGAGGCGGGCGAGTTGTCGACGATGACCACCCGGCGCAGGTCGCGGCCCAGCCGCTCCAGGTCCTTGACGTAGTTGCCGCGGTAGAACACGCACGACTCGCGGAACAGCCGCGCCCGGAACACGCCCCACTTGTCCAGCAGGTCGGCCACCGGGTCAGCGTACTGCGGGGCGGGTGGGTCAGGTCAGAACGTGGCTCGCTCGGGAAGCCCGTCGGCACCACGGGGCAGCGCGCTGCGGGGCGGGTCCGGCCAAGCCAGCCCCACTTGTACAGCAGATCAGTGACCGGCAGCTCACACCCCACTGCAGTCGTCAGGCTGATCAGCCAGCGCCTCCGCACATCGGGTTCATATCGGACACCATACTTCCTACACGCCTCATACATCGTGAACGGCCAGCAGCGTTCAGCCGTAATACCTGGCACAATCTTAACAGCGGCCATAAAGGCCAGACTCCGCGTCGAGCTGGCGCGTTTTGTCGCTCACTGCACGCGCCGTAACACCTCACCCGCCATCAAATCACATCACATCGCACCACTGCATCAGACGCCACGCAGGCACAGGCATTTGACGGTTCCGAACCAGCCTCGACCAGACCCCTTCCCAAACAAAGAGCACCACCTCATGTCCAGTACAACCCTGAGCCGGCCGGCCTGCATCAGGCCTGCCCCGGCGCCGCGGCGCTGCTCACCTTGGCTAGGCTGGCGGTGAAGAGGACACACTCGAACATGTCGCCCACCTTCTGCAGGAAGTCGTCTACGTGCGGCCGCTTCAGCACGTACACCTGGTGGACGGTGCCGTCGATCTCCACCGGCACGATGAAGTCGGCGTTGTTTATGGGCTGCGACGGGGCGGGCGGGCTATGGTCAGCGCCGGCCGTCACAGTGGCTGCCACACCGCTGACTGAGCACCACACAGAGGCCGGGGGACCGGCCGGGGTCAGCGCCGGCTGCTACACCGCTGACTGAGCACCACAGAGGCCGGGGGACCGGCCGGGGTCAGCGTCGGCCGTCACAGTGGCTGCCACACCGCTGACTGAGCACCACACAGAGGCCGGGGGCCCGGCTGGGGTCAGCGCCGGCCGTCACAGTGGCTGCCACACCGCTGACTGGACATCACACAGAAGCCGGGGGACCGACCAGTGTCAGCGCCGGCCGTCACAGTGGCTGCCACACAAATGACTGGACACCACATCAGAGGCCGGGGGCCCGGCCGGGGTCAGCGCCGGCTGTCACAGTGGCTGCCACACAGCTGATGGACACCACTCAGAGGCCGTGCCGCCCGCCGCGTCCCGTGCGGGTCGCGGCGGGCGGCGTTGGCTCCGGCTGCGGAGCCAACGCCCCAGGAGCGCCCCGCACGCCAGGTCCCGTCGTCAACCGCCAGCAGGCGACAGGCAGGTGCTTTAACGGGTCGGGTCTAAAATTGTCCATGCCTGAGGTGTCTCCTTCCGTGCAAAAATTTTCGTGGTCAAATTGCAATTTTAATTTTGTACGGTGTGCTTCATAAGAGCCGCTATCAGCTTTTCATTATTTCATTCAATCCACTTCGTCGTAGCGCTATGGCCTCACGAGGCCCATATTTGAGGGTGGCAACAGCGTGCTGACATTTTCGGAAGCATCACCAACTGCGGTACCGATCGACAGAAACGGAGAAGCCATACGAATTGGGAGACACCGCAACTGTCTACGTATTTCAATGACAAAGTGCTGCATAAACCTTAAACCATAAAACAAAAAGCATAAAAGATGTATTTAAGCAAATCTCCACTTAACTCCCAATTGTTTCACTACCAATGGCTGGCGTCTGACACAACCATGCAAAACACAAAAACTAGACATTCCCACTGCTACTCAAATGCTGCAGAAGGGCCGAAATAGCGTGATAATGATTGGGGTTTTGGGGTGCACCAACTGTGATGGTTATTTTGCGCCCATAAGCGAAAGTGACTAAAACGATGTGTAGATGGCTGAAAATCTTATGCCAGCTAGAAATAAAAAGCTGACCCGTAGCCAGCAGGTAAGGGTCGTTGTCCAACACATCTGCACCGGCAAGATACGGAGTGCTTCGACCGAGATGAAAAGGCGTTCCTCGATAAACCCTTGAGCGCGTGCAAACAGTGTGGTGAAGGGCGAGTGATAAACTGCAGCGAGGGCAACATGGCCGCTCTCTAGTACACAGGTAGCCGTGTGTCGGGTGCATGTGGCCGAGACGTATTCGGCAGTCACTTATTCTCGTCGTGACCTGAGCGAACTCGGCGGCGATAAGCCGAGCTGTGGCCTTATCGTTTTAAGTTCATTGCTTCACGTGCTACCCCAATAGCACTGCCACTTTTAGTCCACCCCGCTCACCAGGGCTGAGTAAGTCTCTGGCAGGAAGGGGCAGGGGACGTGTAGACGGTGTACTTGCCAATGTCCGTTCAGCTGTACCAATAAGCTCGTAAGGATAAAAAAGTGAACGTGTTTGCCTACCACGCCCCTGTAATGCCAGGCACGTTCACCGTTCTATCTCCATTCAAGGCGAACAGGAATTTCTCATCGACCCAGCTGATTCTGTTCGTGAGCAGCTGATGACAAAACAAAAACATCCGGTTGGACAGAATCATGGAGCATATTCAATTGCGCAGATGCCATTTCGTCGGGCGACTTGGCTCGCTCCAAGTTATCCCATTTCCGACGAGACGGCGCGGTCTTGAGTTTTTTGCAGTGCAACAAACGGTGGTGACCTTTACGGGACTTTCTCCCGAACCCCACGCAGTCGTCTGAATCGACTCCGGCGGGCGGGGCTTCCTCGAAGCCTTACTTAACCGCATTTCTGTTTCTGATACCACAGCTAACTGAAATGGTCGCAGACTAACCGCCAACACTCGTATCCCATGATCCATTGGTCGCGGTCTCACCCTTCTACCCTTCCCCTCCCCTCCCAGATGGTTGGTACCGGTTTATGGTAGCCAGACAGGTTCAGCACGGCGCCCTATGCCACCGAAGCCACATGCGGCCCAGTCCAGCGTTCGGTACCGGACAGCGGACCAATCATGGACGGACGAGAGCGAAGAAGCGGAACAATATACGGACACGTTGCAACAGACGAGAGGCATTCGGCATGTTCCCGAAAATGGTCGGAAATCCTGCTGGCACAGGAAACAGACACAGCTAATGAGATCGTTATCACGTTGACGGCTCCACGGTGAAAGCCTGGGAAACACGAAGCGCATATTACAGCAGACGATAGTGATCTTCGCATGACCTCTACAACGGTGTGCGGCGTCTGCTAACTGGCAGGCCACAGCTCTCATCCCAATGGGCAATGCCACCGAGAAGCACAGACGACGGCACAACAGCCCCGAAACCAGGCCATCTCTCACAACGATCCACACAGATCCGTCACACCGCCATCTGAACACGTGACAGCCCAGAATGACTCAACGCGCCCAAACAGGGCGCCCCGCGCGTGCTTCGCTTCAGGCGCCCGCCACCCGGCACGACACCGCGCGGCGCCACCCGCCCTGCCGCCGGCCACGCGCCTGACCTTGAACGAGCTGTGGACGAGCGTCTCGTCGAGGTCCACCACCAGGCAGACCTTGCCCATGTCCTGGTGGCGGACGGGCGGCAGCAGGAAGCCCTGCGCCGGCGGCCCGCTGGCCGCCAGGTGGCCGTTCTCCTCCGGCACGGGCGTCGGCGACGGCGAGCGGGAGCCATGGCCGCGGCCCAGGCAGCACAGCAGCGAGCGCAGCAGGCTGCGCGGCTTGCTCACCCGGGCGTCCGGCGGCTGACCTGCCAGGCCGGGACAGCGCCGGCCTCGTCACACGCCCGGCAGCAGGGCTGCTCGGCCACGCACAGGGTGGAGTGCCGGCCATCTGTACATTGTGAATGCCATATGGCTGGCAAATTGGGGGGACAAGTGGTCCCCAGACCTTACCACAAATGTTGCAGTTATGCAATCAGTGTCTACTAAACACCCTCCGATGGTTGTTATAAAAACAAGCTGCAATTAGCTACAGACATGAATCTTGGTGACAGCAAAACACCCCCATACTTCCCTTAAAAAAACACTGGTAGCAAAAATGTTTATATCAGCATTATAGCATATAGGAACAGTATTTGCCAAAAATCAAACATAACTATTATGGACTACCCAAACCCAACTGTGCATCCTGCAGTAAAAATTTCCCTGTGAATGTCCCCCCCGACAAAGCAGTCTGCTTTGCCCTATTACAGGAATGTTCCACATTTGAAGACATTAAAGCATTCATCAGAGGTGATGATAAAATAGCTGACTTATAATTACTGGTATACTTTGAAGTGGGAAAGACCTGCTCTCAACAACACAATTTCTCTGTTTAGTACATATGCTCTGCTGTACAGCACTCCTGCTAAGGTCATCAAACATCACTGTCCGATGACGTCATCATATCCTATCACTGTCACCTTGTACAACACTGAGGGCCAATTGACAGCCATTATATCTAGAAATTGTGCTCATGAATGCCAGATATGAACATAAAATTATATTTGCTCTTGGCCTTTATTGCCGCATGGCTAATGGAATGGCATGATCTGAATGATGTGGTGCTGCAGGGCTCCAAAATTCAGCCAGCAGGGAATTCAGGATGTACATACAAATTGTGTCACCAAAATCCTGGATCTCTGGCATGCCCCCCATACAATTCATTGATGCCAATCTGTTGCCCTTTGACCTTGACCCAGGCATCTAACCTACTGAGCCTATTTGCCAAGCTGGAGGCACATAGACATTGGTTCGACAGATGCTTAGTTTGATGCTGATTGGGTGATTTTGAGCAAGGGGAGGAACCACATGGTGGTGAGCCCCAAGCCAGGGTCTTATAGCATGAAAAATATTGACATTCCTGCCACTCAAGTGGCCGAATATTGGTACGCTGTAATGCCATGGATGCCTGGGTGACCTTGAAATAGTCTCCATGAAATAGTTCACACATCTTCAAAGGCATATAGCTAAGAAACTAAAGGGGCTTAGGTCTTAAAAAGGGGCAGTATGATAAATTGCACCAAATGATTTTCAAGACAGCTTTTTCAGTTCAAAACCCCATCCAACTGTGGAACACTTCATTCAATAAATAACTGATACTTTATAAACACATACCAATTGAAACAAATGACACATGACAAATGAAATAGAATCAATGGTAATCAATAAATAATACTGAGCTCTAACTGCCTCTTGTATATACAGAAACTGTCGGGCTGGTCATTATCTATGTTATATGCCCTGAATTATAGTCAGGACAAACTGAGCTGAATTTACAACTCAATTTTGTTAAAAATGTCTGAACATCATCTTTGATTGATATTACTTTTAAGACAACACAGTTCCCTGAAACACTGACTCTTCATGCACTATAAGCAGTGACCACACACCCTTTAGGCCTCCATAAAGGTCAGATGAAAATTTTTGATGCATGTCTATGCTACACCTGTTTGATTCAACATGCATTTTCTCATCTCGCCTAGCTGCACTGGTTGTAAGACTAAGAATGAAGTACTGAGTGACATGTGAAGCCATCAGCAGTCCACCCCCGCAAAAGGATAGAGGCAATATTATGAGCCGAACTGGGTGGCATAACTGATGATGGGTTCAGCATAAATATGTCACACCACTTCACATGTGCTTTGAACCTAAACCAATCATGCAGGCCATAGGCAAGGCAAAAGTTGAAACAGGAGCATGCTATGCTTTTAATAAGAATCCAATCTGCAAAAAATACATTGGTAGTGCCAGATACCTTTTCAACACTGGTGTACTGAGCCTCATGCTTCCCTGTGTACAACCTCGGGCCAAGTCAGTATTGAAATTAATTGGCAAACCACTCATGCATGAACAACACCTTTGCAGCATCAAACTCATTATTAAATCTTATTTCAATGAAATTTTAGATAAGAATAGGATGCATATTTTGCAGGTCCGGTCAGAGTGGATATGCCATTACCTTCATAATGATAATATAAATAATATGCCTGTCCATACAACAATAGCCAAAAATTATAATTGCATCATAGCATCACTGAATATATACAGAGCTATATGATAAACTGTATTTTCCCTTGAATACAATCAAAATCCATCATGCAAAACCATTGTCAGGTCTGGTGTTTACAAACACATACAAAGCATGTTGAAATATGCTCAACTGTCTGCAAAAGCTTAATAAAAAATGGTGCTTTCTTAACATGATCAGAAGAAAGAAACAAAACAACCAAATGGGAGACGGGAAGCGAAACGAAACAAAATGATAATACAACCATGTGCAAGTCACCAGCCCGATGCTAAAACCACGCCACAAACGCCGCAAACAGAGAAAAGCATATTTGTGCTCATTGTACCATTATCTGGTTGAACATGTAGACGGTCCTCTTCTCTGCTGACCTGGGTGATTATTGATCCAGGATCCATTGACATGCTTAACGATCACCAATGCATTATCACGCACTTTTCTGACGCCCAGCCCCGCCACGAATTAAGATGGCGTCGTCCTGGTGCAGAGATTTGTTGTCGATCCAAGTCCATGCCTAAAGTCCTTTTTAGAGGCTTTTTGTACATAATTGATGCAAATTTTCATAACATAAGTCAACCTGTAATTCCAATTTTAATTTTTTGTTATTTTGAACAACTTCAGCTTGGAGAAATAGTTTGGGATAAAAGAATGGCAGCACTAAATTAAATTCTTATTTAAAAATCACGTTTGATACGCCCCAAAAACATGATTATAATCGTATTTTGCCTTTCACTTGCGTATCATGAACAAGAGCATTGTTGTAGAACCGGAATTGGTATTCGTGGCCGTGATTCAGTGAAATAATTGCGTTCTAATTTAGTACCATCTCTCCACACAACCTGCCTTGACACGTTCCTGCCCCTATCCTAACCTGTGCCGAGTTACATACCAGTGAGCTACTGACACCTTGAGGTGGTTAAAACTTTGCAAAGCCAGCTTCGTTTTCCTTCATATCTCCTGTAGGCAGCGACATGAGAGGCACCTGTTTCATGTTACCTTTGTTTTGTGATTTTTTTTTTTATAACGCAGCCTTGCGTGGAACGTGGAATAATTTTCGACAGCCGAATGGTCAACCCTTGTATTCGACCTTTCACGCTCACAGCCCATGTAGCGTCTTGATCCGATCATCCAGAAATCTTCCTATATTGTGCGCCCCCTCCCCTCCCCACCCGGAAACCTGGGCGCCCAACGAAACGGATCTTACGGGACTTACGGGATGCGTCCGGGGCAGTATGTTTTATTAATTTCAGTATGACTTGGCCGAGGGGTCCCGTACGTATTCACTGGGTTTGGGATACAAGGGCGCATCCAAAAACCCCACCTTGGCGGAGGACGCCAGCTTGAAGGTGGAAGGCGTGAAATTCGTCCTGGTTTTAAAAACATTATCATCAGATTTTATTTCTTCGTCCGCAAGGAGTGTTCAAGAGCAAGTTTGCCTTCGAACCTTCGAACTCCGATTCTCTTAAAAATACAAAAATGTTCATTCTCTACTAATTGCCCACTTCATCCGTCCTTGTCCCGACTCCTGTGGGCTGTGTACTGCGTAGCAGAGTCTGAACGTCTCCGGACCTCAGTGCATCGTGTTACGCGCTCTATCACCGTGTGCCATCTGATGCGGGCCTATCGAGCATCACCGCGCATGGTGTCCGTGAAACAGCCTCTCCTAGGCCGCCGTATATTGCATCAACGGACCGTACAGAGTGTCATGCGAACCTTACATGCATCATCTCCTAGGCTCCTGCGTACTGCATGATCCCTTGGTCGATGGTCCCTTCAGGGCCATTACGCTTGGCATGTTCTGATCCTCACTGACCGCTGTGCAACATGCGGTACATACACTTCTGGGCCGCTGTATGTGTAACGTGTGATAGTGTAAGTGATGGAGTGAGTGATAGTGATAGTAAGTGATAGTGTAAGACGGACCATCCCGGGCACCTCATTTGACGAAATATTGGAGCTTTCGCCCTAAGTCACGCCGCTCCACTTGTACCACTTAATACATCTTCGTTTGTGCCCGACACAATGACGTCATCGATAGGAAGAGGCCATGGGCGCACGGTTTCACAAAATGAGATGGGGGGAGGGGGGCTGAGCAAAGCTAAATGACCCAACGTACCCCTAAAATATACCAACAAACAGTTTTCTCTCCAGATTTGACCCACTTTCTTCCCAACGTTAGGGGGCTAGAACCCAAGTTGGAAGGGGGCTGAAGCTCCCCTCCCAACTCAATCCAAACTACATCACTGAGAGAGGAGCTCCTGGCTGCATGAAATGGGGCCATAGGTATTTGATGATCAATTCGCCAGTGACGGAAAGCAATGAGAACCAGTAACTGCGGCGCAGAACGTCAAAATGACGGAAGTCCGGTTTTGCTAGCAGACTGCTCGGGCGCAGTGATCCGGGGTTCCGAGCGACTGTGTTGCAAAGGCGGCAGCAATATATCAGACTTGCTGGCCGTTTACAGAGCGTGCCAGCGAAAGCAGGAGTGACAGCGCACCGAGTCATAACGAGGTCACGGCGCGCCGCGGCAGCGACGCAGGACCGGCTCCCGATATGGAATCGAAAGTCTGCATAACCCCACTGCCGTCAGCCACTTTTAAGAACTCCGTTCACGAATTTACACGCTGCAATGCAAACCACGGAAATGAGGTACTGGTGCAGAACTGAAAGTGCTTTGGAGCACATGTTTTCGAAGTGATAAGGAAAACCGAATTCAGATGGCCTACATTGCACATTGAATGTACTGACGGTCCTAATCGCATCGATTTCGTAACTGCTTGTGGAGTTGCAGCTGTGGTGCAAACCCCTACGCGACTATAACGAGATTTAACGGTCCCCGTCCCAGTTGGCCTCTGCTCCGTCAGGACCGCGGAAGAGCGCGCGGAGGACCACACGCGGTTCGTTCATTCCGCGGCCGAGTGATCATCTCTGTGGGCCACCCTGCTGACGGAGTGGTTGCGAAAGACTCGTGTCGTGCCGAGGAACACCGGTTAGCGAAGGACTCCACCTCCTAACGTCAAAGGCGCTCGGAGCTATGCAATATTTGATTGAGGTCGCAGCGCGCATGCCGGGTTGTTCAGCGCATTCGACGGTGCTTTCGTATTGGATCCACACGGACTTGATAAGTAGTATGCTATTAATTGGATTTATGTGGGTGGAGGAAAATTACAACTCGAAAAGGTACTCATTAAGATACAGTAAGTAAGCAAGAGAAACGAGCAAATGAATACGGTCATGCAAGGCATAACCAAATCAAAGTCCGTATGGCTTGCACAATTTCTCACAATCGTAAAATCGTACTGCGTATAGTAATATCTCTAAGGAATCGTCGGGTCATTACCACGATGATTCCTTGCCTACCTGTTTTCTTTGCTTGTTTAATGCTTAGTGTATGTTAAAACTCACAAAAATAGTCAATATCACCACAAACTAAATCGGTTTTAAAGGATGCCAATTCATCCGGCAAACGCGTGCGCCATTTTGTGGAGAAATATGACGCAGTGGTCTGGGTGAGACCCGTAAGCTGTGTGGTAATACCCAAAGGAAGACTGTAATTTCTGATTTGTATGCATAGGGCGGTGAGCATAAATCAGTCATTTTTGTGAGTTCTCACCCTGTCTAAGTACTGCATAATCCCACAACGATTCTGTTAAGCTATCGCTTGCTACACTACCCACGTATTGAGCTGAGAAAGAGAAGTGTGGAGAAATGCTGCATTTGATACAATGAACTTATCACTATGTGTGATCCATGCCGTGCATGCTCTTCACTGCCTCACTACCAAGTACCACCCGCTTTGTACCGACGGGCGGCCATATTTGGCTTGAACAAATCTGCTAACATCTGCAAAAACACGGTAGGTACGACGCATGCCCGCCGAATGTAACAGCACATCGCCGTAAACGTCCTTATGCAGACGACCGATTCGTGAGCGCCGTCTTTAACCATTGCCGTAAGAAGCACTCGGGGCATGAAATGGCGTTCCTTACTTGGAAAGTAGCCGCTTGAATCGAGCCTTGTCCATGCTGCCTCATATGGCCGAAGTCCTTGTGGATCCCGACTCCCGACCGTCCTTCGAAGTTCTTTTTCTGTAAGTTTACTGCTTGACGCACGCTGGCCCAGTCATTATTTTCAGCCCATTGTAGCGCGTTTGATGCGGCTGTAGCCAGTTAGCCTGCCCGACGCGTTAGCGCGTCCCTTGCATTATTTCTTCTCCAGATGCCCAGTAAATAAGCGCAGTACGTCAAAACGAGAAACGAGCTCGCGTTCAATACACCACCATTACAAATGCATCGTTTATTACATTGTTCATTCAATATAGCTGTCCACATCAAGCATCGCTCTTAAATACTCGCCCACGCAGGCCATCACGCACAGTTATATACGCCGCATGGTCACATTCGGGTACCACAACGACATCACAATGCACAGAGACTAAATCAGGTAATCAATAACGCCCCATGTTTGAACGACACGGATTATCAATCATAGCAAACATATCAATACAAACATCGCCAGCGAGCGCTATAAAGCTTCTGATTATGCACCTGCAACAGCTCCAGACCTGCGTCTGCGCTCCCAGTCATCATGTGCGCCTTCCTCGGGTCAATCCCGACTGAGGTGTAGGGTACTGGCGACCGTCGCCGGGTGGCGCCAGGTGTCGACCCGCTCTGACGCGCCGGCCGGGCTGCGGGGCCGCGCCTGCAGACTCTGGCGGAACGGACTCTGCTGAGCGAGCCCCGGGCAGCAGACTGCCGGGGGCCAGCTGCTGCAAGCCCGGCGGCGGCCGCTGCTGCCTGGCCGGTCTCGGGTGCCGTGGCGGCGGCTGGGGCCTCCCGCCACCCTGAGGGCGGAATGCTGCTCCGGATCCGCGGTGGGGAGGGGGCCGCGGTCGGCCGGCGTCCCTGAGCGGCAGCAGCGCCGGACGCCGCTCGCCCTGGCCGGCGCCGAACGGGCCAGAGCCGCTCGGTCGCCGGCTGGGCGGCAGCTGGGGGTGGCCCCGCTGTGGCTGGGACAGGACGCCGTGTCCACCGCTCTGCTGAGGGCGGAGGGAACCCGACCCGGACGGCCTCTGGCCCTGCCTCGGCGGCTGCGGAGGCAACGGTCGCCCGCCGCCCTGCTGGCTCTTGAAGGGCCCCGTGGGCAGCTGGTTGGGCGAGGCGACCTGGGGCCGACCCCGCGGCGGAGGTCGAGCCTGCTCGCCGCGCTCGTGGGGCGCCGGTGAGAGGGGGTCGGCGGGACGCTGACTGGGTGGGAACTGCGGCTGATTTATTGGCCGCTGGTGAAGCTGGAAGCGGGCGCCGTTTTGATGTTTTCTGAGTGGGGACGAGTCGGTCAGCTTCGGGCTTGCTGGAAAATGAGGCCGACCCCCAAGTTGCTGATGGGATTTGGACTGACTACCGCTCTGTTGAGTCCTGAGCGGGAATGGGGCGGACGGAGCGTGGCTGGGTGGGAAGCGTAGCTGACCCGCTGGCGGCAGAGGAGATGGAGCCTGTCCACTCTCCTGCCGAAACCCCTGAGGGAACGTCCCAGACGGTCCGAGGTTTGGTGGAAACTCTGGTCTGCCTTTCGGATGCTGAGGGAACTCGTGCTGACCACTGTCCTGCTGGGACCCTTGCGAGAGCACGCTAGTCGGCTCCCATCTGGATGGAAGCTGCGGCCGACTTGTCGTCGGCTCGAGGGGCAGCGGCTGGCCAGCGACGTGTTGAATGTTCTGCAGGGGCGGCGTAGTGAAGCCCTCGAAGGGCGGGAACTGCGGTCGACCCACCAGTGCCGGAAGAGGCGACTGCTGCCCGTTGCCTTCAGCGAGCAGTCCGACGTGTTCCTTTGGCTGTAGGGGCCGCGCCTGCGTCGCCGTCGCTGCCGCCGCCGGCTCCGACACCCCGGGAAGCGCACGTGACCGCCGCCGCCTCGCTGCCGCTGTCGCTCCGGCGCCGGCCGGGGCCGATTGCGGCGCGGCGGCGGCGGCGGAGACGGCGAGCCCGGCTGGGGCCTGGCCGGCGCAGCGGGGCCGCCGCCGTTCTGGGCCCGCTCCGGCGCGAAGTTTCCCAGACCGACGACCCGCTGCGTGGTGACGGCGCCCGGGCCCGGCGGGACGCCCGGCGTGAGCCGGGACGGCTTGCGCGGGCCACTGACGAACGTGCCGCCGCTCGGGCCGGGCGTGGCGACCGCCTCGAACCCCGTCGGCGGCGGGGCGGACGGCGCCACCCCCGGGAGGAACGGCGAGTCGGGCATGATCGGCTGAAAGCCCGACTCCAGCTCGATCTTGGACGGCACCTTGCGCTCCGTGGGTCGCTGTTCGAGCCGGGCCAGCTGGCGGGAGGCCGGCCCGTAGCTCTGGTTCTGTCCCTGGGTCTGTGTCAGGACCTGATACAGCTCGTGGAGCGGCCTCGTGGTGACCTGCACGGTGCTGACGACCGGCGATGACCCAGCGCTCTCGACATCCGGCAAATTGTGCGGGCCGTCCACGTCGACCTCGTTTTCCTGGGCCGCGTGCGACTGCTGCCTGCGATGCGAGGGTTTCGTCACGACGTCCTGAGTCGTGCTTTCTGCCGAGTTGACGGAGAGCCGGCGCAGACTTTCGGTGAACTGCCGCAAGCTGTCAGAGAACTGCGCGGTCGCCGGGGAGTGAGGCGTCAAGTGTTCGTCGGCTAGCTCGGGGACCTCGCCCGGCGGCTGCGGAGCCTCCGTGGGCCCCTCAGGATTCCTGTGAACTGGAGCCGGGGTCTGGGTCGGTGGGTGTTCCAGCGGGTGAGTTAGTGCCTGCGAGGACTGCTCCGGTGCCCCTGCGGGCTGCTGACGCTCCTGTGAGCGCTGCGGCTCCGGCGCCTCCGTCGCGATTGTCGTCGTGCGGAGGGGCGCCGCGGTGACCACCACTGGCGCCGCCTCACCGCCACCGGCTCTCGGACGGCTCGGCTTCCGCCGTCTAGTCTGATCCCGCGTGCTGGTGGGCTTCGCCGGCCGCCGGCCGCTCGTCCCGCTCTCCTCGGACTCCGTCTGGCTCGGTCGCCGGCGACGGATCTGAACACGCCCCCTGACCCCCGCCGGCCGGCGCCTCCAGGCCCCAGCGGCGCTCGGGCGTGCCGCGGCGGAGTCTACCTTCGCGTCGCTCTCGGTGGAGGACGGTGCTGCGTCATCACCCTCGGCCGACACGGCGATCGTGCTCGGTTCCTCGGTGGTCGGCCGGGCCGTGCTGGCCCCCTCCGCCGCCGCGTTTGCATGGGGCCGCCGCTTGCCGTCTGCGCACGGCGAGCCGGGAGCCGGCGCCGCGCCGGCCCGGCCGGGGCCGCTCGGTTGCCCGCCGGCGCGCCAGCAGCGCCGCCAGGCGGCCGTCCGCCGACTTGCCGCCGGCCGTGATGGTGTTCTCCAGCTCGGCGTCGCCGGCGTCGCTCTTCTCCAGCAGCTGCTGCTCCGCCGGCTCCGGCGTGAGCCGCTCGGCGGTCTCCGTGACGTCACCGGCTTCGCCAGCGTGGCTGGGCTTCCCGCCGGCCGGGACCGCGTCCGTCGAGGGACGCTCCTCCGCCAGCGCCTGCCCGCCGGAGTGGAGTCCCTGGTTCGTCAGCGCCGTGACGTAGTGGATTAGCTGCGCCTGCCGTTGCCGCTCGCGCTCCGCCACTTCGGGCGCCGACGCGGCGTCCGGGTACGCCACGAAGTAGCGCTGGCCGCCGGAGCGACTGGTGTGGGTGCCGGACCCGTCGGAGCTCAGCTCGAGGTCTTGCGCGCTGGTGACGTCAGACGGGACGTCAGTAGCCCGTCTGACGTTACTGTCGACTGGCTGTCCGAGCTCGGCCGGCTCTGGAGTGTTCGGAGATGGTGGGCTCGCCGGCGCTCCGCGGGGTATGTGGGTTCTAGCAGAGCATTCCAACGCAATAGTCAAGAGCAAGAGCAGCAGCTGAAAGATCGAATAAACTATTGTCAGGCAATAACGTACAGAAACATGGTCACCAACAGCGCTTGCAGTCCAACGTACTGCGATGCCACGTCAGCCATCCTCTATGTACCAGAGGTGAACCCGAAAGATTATTGTCGTAACACAGAGCTACTAAATGCAGAGAAGGGAAAACGTAAATAATTTCAGCGGGTGACCAGTCCCCGCACCACAAGCCCAGGAGGCCACATTCGGGACCTGCCTTGCAGCCTGGACCGGTTCACAGCGCGGTGAACTCCGCAGGGACAGTTGGTCAGCCCTGTCAATGTTCTGCCGGCCGGAGCGGCCGCTCCCCGAGCGTGACGGGCTGTCTCAGCCGGGTCGACGAGCCCTTCACCCTCTGACACAGCAGAAACTTTCGCCGCCGGCCCCGTAGCGGCTACGTGTAACGCATCCGGGTACTGGGGCCGCGGCCGGGATCGCATGATGCCTGAATTGCACTGGTTGATGACAGCTTGGTTGAAAGAGCTTAACGCAACTTACCACTTGCTTGGTTATGTTATGCACCGGTGGTGAAAGCCAGCAAAGCACAACAGCCACATCGCATTACAGGATGTTCCGGCCTGAACGAACGGGGAGGCACATCCAAAGGGAAAGCCCGCATTGTCCGCGACCCGCAAGAACAACAGCAAGAACGCCAGCCACTGTTTCACGGTTTGCACAATATCCGCTCCTGTAACATCCCACGCCGCATCAGCAGGTGTTAAACAACTTTAACTAACGTCACAGCGGGGCCCGCACGTCTGGCGTTCCCCGGGCGACTCACCGTGTTCGCCTGCGCGCGGAGCATGGCGCCGCTCCGACGGCTCGTCGCTCCGTCACTCCCAACCCGAGCTCCGATAGTTGCCGCTCCGACGTTCCTAGCCTGAGCTCCGACAGCTCGCCGCCCCGTCACACCCCACCCGAGCTCGGACAGCTCGCCGCTCCGACACTCCCGACCCGCGCTCCGACGGCCGACTCCTCCGCCGGGCGCCGGAGTCACCTCAGATATAGGTCAGCCGGCGAGTCCGCCCCCGCCCCCGTGCAACTCCGAACAATGTCGGCGGGGCCGGCTTTCTCGCTCGGTTGCGCCGCAGCCGGAACCGGTCACCGGAAGCTGCCCGGGTCGCCGCCGCGGCCCGCGTCCAGCCACCGACATCGCTCACGTTACGGGCGCGGAAACCGACGCTGTGGCAGAAACCGGACCGGGAACAGGAGGCAACGCGCTCTCCGGTGTGTGTCCGGTGTTGGGCAACTCTCCACTATGGGGTCGATGGTGTCATACGTCGGAGAAGGGAGAGAGGGGAGTAGTGAGGGGGGGGGGGGGGGTGAGGCGCGGGGAAGCGATGAGGTGCAGAGGAGCGGTGAAGCACTGGAGAGCGGCCAGGCGCAGTGGAGCAGTGAGGCCCGGGGGAGCGAGCGATGAAGCAGTGAGGTGAAGGAGGGGGCGGGGAGCGGTGAGACGGGAGGGGAAGCGGTGAGGGCGTGAGGGGCGGTGAGTCGCGGGAAGCGATGGGGCGAGGGGGGGGGGGGGCAGTGAACACGCCGGGGGCGTGTTCACTGCCCCCCCCCCTCCCCTCGTACCTCCCTCGTAATGAGGGGGAGGGTGCGGTGAGGCGCGGGGAGTAGTGAGGTGAGGGGAGCGGTGAGGCGGGAGGTGAGGTGAAGTCGGGGGGGGGGGGGGGGTGGAGTATGTTTTAATGCGCGATGAGCGTACAAAGCCGTGACGACTCACTTCTCGTAACGGGACACGATTATGTTTGTCACATGAATGCAGACAATGGTTCGTATCGAATCCACAGCCCGGAGCGAGCAATTTTACAGTATCGCCGCGGAAGCCAGGTTAAAGCCAGGTTTAACCGCAGCGAGAAAAGAGAAACAAACTAGGAAAGTGCGATTTCAAGGCGTAAGTACGTACCATGTCAGATATCTGCTCAACGCCAAGCCGCACGATCCAACACGCTTCTCATTTGTCTAAATTTTGTGACGATCTTTGACACCAGCCTCAATGTTCTGAATGTTTCGTGAGAAAGCACCCAAAACAGGTTCGAGAGGTGATGGTCATCGCAGCATCCCGGCATCTCAGTTATGCCACTCTACTCCAGTGGTACTTCAAGACCGCCCCGGCCCTTCAGCAATAGTCATCTCGCTCCGCCGACAAAAACAGGAACACAATGGAAATATATTTATTCTTGGCACATAAGCTGCCCACTCCTCGACACAATAATATGCTTGCTACAAAAACACTCATGTTGCCCAACCAATGACATATACACACAATCGGTCCCTCTCAAGAGGTACCCTGAAAAGCTCAGAATACCCTGATTGCGGCGCCCCCTGCCTCCAAAGCCGCCGCCGCCGCCTCCGAAGCCGCCGCCGCCTCCGAAGCACGCGCCGCCGCCTCCAAAGCCGCCGCCTCCGAAGCCGCGCCGCGCCTCCGAAGCCGCCGGGCCGGCCGCGGCCGCCGCGTCCCCCGCCGCTCGCCGTCGCCGCCCTCGGCCCGCGCGCCGCTCCTTCATCCGGCTGAACCGCTCCGACATCTCGACCAGCCAGTCGGGCACCTCCTGCCGGCGGCGGCGCGGTCAGCGGGGCACACCCACCGTGTCGAAGCCTTCGGGTCAGGAGGCTCACGGGGATCGGCGCTCGGTGGGGGCGTGGGGTCCAGGCGAGAGCTCAGACGCTACCGTCGCAGGTCGCAAGTATGGCAGTGTCTAGTCAGTCTGTAGGCCTTTTCTCGCGTAAATTACAATTGTGACACCTTCCCTGTGCCGGGTGCCACCTGGTACAAGGTGGCTTAACGTGACATGACAACGCTCCGCGATGGTGAGACAGACTTGAGAACACGGTGATAGGAGCAGATTTTAAGCTCGCGTAGATGACGTGTTGAGGGGAGTATCTTTGGGCCATATTTCAAAAATACACTCTAGAGAGGCTTTAGGACTAGTTACGTCTAATAACAGTAAGTGACAATAGTAATAGCAAGTGATAATATACTAGTAATAGTGAGTGATAATGTACTAGTAATAGTAAGTGATAATAGAGACTTCAGACTAGTTGCGTCTGATAATAGTAAGTGGGCGGTGCCACGCGCCAGCACCGTCAATATATAACAATAATATCCATTTCATTGTTTTCAAGTCCAAATTACGCTGTCAGCGCCCTGTAACAGCACCACACTTTCTTTCCAGCACCCGCAACAAACGTCGTCATGACAACGACCGGCGCACTCCTACTTGCAACAAAAACCGGACGTTCATGACTGGCTCAGCAGGCGTAACTATACCGACGGACATGTCGCTTGTCAAAAGCGGAAAGCGGATTATCTAACTTACGCTGAAACACTTAAACATACGACTTGAGCGCCATTTGCAATAGCATGTGAGCCATAACGTAAGTCTGTCATCCTGCCTTCCACGCCCAACATCATATATGGACGGCTTCTTCCGTTTTGTTCCCGCCGCTGATGCAGAGGTCCCCAACCGAACCCTCGGCGGGGATGTAGCTCCGTGGTAGAGCGCTCGCTTCGCATGTGAGAGGCCCCGGGTTCAAACCCCGGCATCTCCAAGCCGACAGTTTTAAACACTTAAAAAACAAAAACACTAAAACATGAAAACACAAGAATACAGCAGATAACACGCTCCAAAGCAAAATCTTCATGGGGGATAGGGCGGGCTGGGAGGCACTCGCAGAGCTGGTGAGCGCGGCCGGTCGTAAGACTCTCAATGCCGCCAACAGCACATTCCGCCACATCATTGCAAGAATGCCAATGATTGTCTAACATTAAGCAACACAACAAGTGGGTGATGAATGGATGACAACCTAAACTTCACCCCCGTCCTTTTGAGGACGTCACTTCCTGGAGGGGGGGGGGGACGTATCTTTAGTTTGGGTGAGGGCGAGATTTTCCTAGGGGCCATCCTGGATAAAATAATCCTCCCTGTCTGGGAATGTTAAAAAAAATGCAGGGTGCCTACTCACACGAGGGGCCTCCTACGAAGTATTGTATTCAATAGGATGGGAACACCAAGAGTATGTGCCACCTTATCAACCTGCTACATATCCCAGTAAATAAACCGAACGACAAGGTAAAAGGAAAACAGTGAACCTTCTGATTACCAAGCAAGGATCTCCCCAGCCAAAACACTTCCTGTTGCAGAAATAGGCCTCCCAATGCATAGAGAATCTCAAGTATCCAAAACAAAATGTTTTCCGATTCACAAAGGGGCCTCGAAATCAGCCATAAGGGCTCGATATTCTAAAACAGAGCATCCTGACCCGGTGCCGCATCTGATGCCCTGAAAGCGGCCTTCTGTTCCAAAACGGGGGCCTCCAGAATATAGAGGATGTCTTCCAATCCAGAACAGGGGCCGTCTAACTTGTAACGGGACCATCCTTAAAGGGCGTGTTCCGCATTTAGGGGTTTGTATGGAAATAGCCATCTTAAAGACATTTCGGTGCTGTTCACAATCCTGCCCCTTCTTAAGACATAAGCCCCTCTAGTTTCTGAAGTACGCGCCAGCGAAATGGGGAAGGAAGGTATATCGGGGTAAGTATTTCAGTCGCCTTGGCATTCATGATGTCATAATAACGTTATTCAAATCCTGTCATTCCATAACTCACGCGGGCGGTCAACGCCAATAAAATATAATTGTCAAAGCGTTCATATCTGGCGTCCCCGGGCGCGATTTCCAGATATAACGGCCATCAATTACCTCTCAATCAATGTTGTGCAAGTTACGATGACTACAGGGGACTGTGCTGTCTAGAGAAGTATTTCCCAGTTAAAAAGTATGCCACTAGTTATAAGCAAGTTTGTTTCATCATATCTGATGCTTGCTTACATCTCCTCAAATGGGAAACATTCCCTTCAACGCAACACTGGGCATATTGATCTAGAACACTGGCTACCGTATTCATAAAGGTTAGCTCATGATCCATAAAAAGGGTCTCTTGACATAGCAACGGGCCTTCTGAAGCCCGGCATGTACTCCTAGCTCAGTGCTGGTGGCCTGCTTAATCTTAATTTTAGTACTCTTAGAGTAGCTACGTTATATGCCCTTAGTTTGGGCTAAAAAGGGACCTCATCCATTTTTTTGTGTAGAGGGGGGGGATCGTCTTTCCCCCTGCCTACTGGCAAAGGGGGAAAGTTAACTGCGCTCTTTGCCCCCATCCCAAACCCTGCTGTGCCGCCGCTGGCCATTCCCACCCATCTCCCTTGGGCCGCTATGCCATCTACCCCCGGGCGCTTACCCCCGCTATTAGGTACAGCATGGCCATACGCGGCGGCGATTTTGACAACCACAATGTGGCTCCTGGAGCCTTGCAGGGATGTATCTCAGTGGTGGAGGGCTCGCTTTGCGGGGGGCCCCGGGTTCACACCCGGCATCTTCAGGTGACCGCTTTTTGGCCCGCCGAGCATGCTGAAACGAAAGAACCAAGCCAGCTGCAAACCTGCGATCAGAACAATGTTCATGGACGGCCACCAGCACGGCTGTCGATTTTAACTTGTTGTGAGAGCTCAGACGCTACCGACGCGGTCATAAGTATCGGCAATGCCTAGTCAGTTTCTAGGCCATTTTTCGCATAACTTTTATTATTTAATAACTTTACTAACATAACTAACATAACTTTTAAATAACTAACATAACTTTTATTATTAAATTAAGTGACGATTTCTCTCCGCCCGCTGTAGACAAACTTAAGAATGCCAGTATAGGAGTCCCGTCTTAAACTCGTGTGGATGGCGTGTTAATGGGAGCATTGGGGCGTATTTAAAAAAACAGTTAAGTGAAACCTCAGGACTAGTTACACCTTGTAATGGTACTAGGTACTGTCACTGCAGCACCGTCAAGACATAGCAAGCACATCAATATCAATTGTTCGCAAGCCCAAATTACACTGTCAACGCTGTGTAAAAGCACTACGCTTCTTTCCAGTAGTCGCGACCGTCGTCGGCGTGACAACGGCCGTGCGCACCTCTACTGGCGCGAATAAAAGAACGTTTGTGATTGGTCCAGCAAGCAAGGACTTATTACCAAGACGTCGGTTGACCGAAGTTTGAAACTAAGCGTCACATGGATCACGTGATACACGCATTCCCAAACACAAAGTGCGCCTCGAGAAGTCAGTGTGGTGAACGCCATAGGGGGAAAAAGCAAAGCCGTAGTATAACATTTCGTTGAATTCGCGGGATAATAGCCTCATACTCGCATACGTAATAATGCATCAGATATTGTACGCTATTTAAATGTGTATTTATTATTTATGACACATTTTATGTGGCTGTTCTTGTGTCTCTTGATACAGGCAGATCGGAGGCATGGCCTTATGCCGACCACGTTTTGTGTCGCTGCCCTTGTGTCTCTTGATACAGGCAAGTCAGAGGCATGGCCTAATGCCGACCCCGATGCCGAGACACCCGCACATGCTCTTTTTTTGCCGCTCACCGCCGGCCTGAGTAGTTTCTAAGAAGCATCCGTTTCTGGCAGCCCCATCTGGTCAGCTAGCTTGGGGATGTAGCTCAGTGGTAGAGCGCTCGCTTCGCATGTGAGAAGCCCCGGGTTCAAACCCCGGCATCTCCAATCAGAGCTTTTAAATGTCATGACTGGCCAACACGAGCAGCTTTCAGGTGCACAACGTCGGTGGAAACAAATAAACTCTGCTTGGATATTGTACGCTATTTAGAGAGGTTTAGCGGCTGAACACGGAATTTGTGCGATCTTTTGAATGGTAACAAGAACCTGGTTGTCATGAAATTCAATGACGGGAGTGTCTAGTTAGGTGTAGGTGCCTTCTAGTTGGGTGTTGGACTGAAGGAGACATCTTGAAGACCATTGGGTGCAGTCTACAATCCTGATCTCTGAAGACCAGAACCCTTCTAGTTTCTGAGCTACACGGCGACGCAGATGTGCAGACTTTTCCGACGGGACTATTTCAATGTCATCCAGGTATCCATGACGGCATAATAATGCCATTCAAATGCTGTTACTTCATTGGCCATGCGGCGATCGAGGCCCAGAAAAATAGAATTGTCGATTCGTTCGTATCTGACGTTGTGAGCATGATTCCCAGACAAAACGGCTGTCAATTTGCTCTCAATCAATGTTGTGCAGGGTACGAGAAACCAATTTGACAGTGACGTGTTGAAGGGCATATTTACGAAACAAAGAAGATGTGTGCAGCGGCCCTTTCCACTGACAGCGTACCGATAGTTATAAGTCACGTCATGTCACGTATCCGATGTATGATATATATCTGGCGCTTGCTTCAGTATCTTCAAATGTGGAATATTTCCATTGAGCAGAATTATGTCGTCATGACAGGCTAATTTTTCATTGTTCCAGGCTGCACGCGGTTATCCTGAGCAACTTCGCGGAACGGCATCCGTAGCTTTGCTGATGGCCCTAAGCATGGGCATGTCCTCTGATCGCGACTTCCCAGTTATTTTAATTCTGCCGTCCATCATGCTTGGCTGGTCAAAAGCGCCCTGTTGGAGATGCCGGGGTTTGAACCCGGGGCCTCTCACATGCAAAGCGAGCGCTCTACCACTGAGCTACACCCCCGC